AAATGCCAGAACTGCCTTGGCTGAGTTTTAAAGAAGGTGTCTGAAGGCTCAGGGAAGTGGGAATGTTAGAATGGGTTTATTACGTGAGACCAGAAGACCTGCCATTGACCATGTTCTCTGGGAGCTGCCCAGAGGATGCTCCCTTTGCTAAGGCAGTACAGGGAGCAATGTGTCACTGAGAAGCTGTTGGTGGCTGTCACTTGTAGTCCAGGGCTGACAGCAGGAGATGCTGCCATGAAACTGGGCTTCTAGTGTCATTGGGGATGATGGAATTCTGGGATGGCATTTAACCATTCCAGATGGTGATATTTACCCATCAGAGGCCAGGAGGGCATTCTTACCATACTTTGCAGCAAGACTACAGTGGTAACTAGGGGGTCCTTGCTTCTCAGAGACTTGTGCAATGATGAGAATAGGCCATGGTGTTGATAATGGGAAAATAAATGGGTGGCCAAGGGAGGCAGAGGGTAAGTGGTAGAAAGGGTCAAGGAACAAGGAGGAGAGACAAGCAGCAGAGATCTGACAATCTCGCTATTAAAATGCCTTACAGGCCGGCCCCACTGGCCTTGTGGTTAACTTTGGTGCACTCTGCTTCCGCGGCTCAAGTTCGGTTCCTGGGTGTGGACCTGCACTGCTCTGTTAGCAGTCATGCTGTGCTGGCGGCCCACATACTAAAAAAATAGGGGAAGATTGGCACAGATGTTAGCTCAGGCCGAATCTTCCTCAGAAAAAAATAAAAGCCTTAGTATTAAGTCAGTATTTAGACACATCCTAGGAAAGGTAGGTAGAGAAAACTCCAAATGGTGGGGAAGCATCTACCATTGCACTGAAGCGGCAGGTTTGACTGACAAATTGAGTGATAGAAAAACCTTTAAAAACTGCATTTCTTTGCATGCCAGAGAATGTGTACCAGCCACAAATACTAACAAGGAGACTGGGCAGTACCAGATGCTGAGGCACAGCATGCAGAGAAATGAAGGGACAATGACTGAGCAAGTTCAGGCCTTTGGGGTGCTTATTTCCAGCCACTATAACAAAATACCATAGATTGTCTAGCTTACGTATGAATAGAAATTTGTTACAGTTCTGGAGGCTGGGTCCCAGCATGGTCAGGTGAGGGCCAACTTGTCATGGTCTCCTCATGGCAGAGAGTAGAGTGGGGAAGCAAGCTCTCTTGTGACTCCTATAAGGGCACTAATCCCATCGTGAGGGCTCCCCATCATGACCTCATCTAATCCTCATCACCTCCCAAAGGCCCCACCTCCTAACAGCATCACATTGAGGGGTAGGGTTTTGACATATGAATTTGGGGGAGCACATTCACCCCATACCCGGAACTGAAAGCAGGCTCAGCAAGCAGTAAGTGATGAGAACAGGACCTCTACCTGAAGCCAGGGTGCTCTGCTCCTCAACCCACCCCATCACCCAGGTGATGGTTGGCAGCTGGGACTGTAACATGGGCCAGTAAAAATGGTCAGTGGTTTCAGTTTTACAAGATGAAAAGATGTATGGGAATGGCTGCACAACAGTGTGAATGTGTTTAATACCACTGAACTGTACACTTAAAAATGGTTGAGATGGTAAATTTTATGTCGTGTGTATTTTACCGCAATAAAAAAATGAAGAAGAAATGGCCAGTGGTGACCGTGTAGAGATTGGGGTCCAGAATGGAATATTAGCTAGAGGAGTGTAAGAAGCAGCACAGTGGGGCCAGGCCCGGGGCTGAGTGGTCAAGTTCAGGCGCTCCGCTGTGGGGCCCAGGGTTTCGCCGGTTGAAATCCTGGGTGCGGACATGGCGCCACTCGTCAGGCCATGCTGAGGTGGCATCCCACATGCCACAACTAGAAGGACCCACAACTAAAAATACACAACTATGTACTGGGGGCTTTGGGAGAAAAAGGAAAAATAAAATCTTTAAAAAAAAAACAGCAGCACAGCTATTAAGAGAAAAAGCAAACTATATCTGAAAAACAGTGTCTGTCTGGGAAACAGCCTGCAAATCCTGGGACAGAAGTGCTGGTGAGAACACGTGTAGGATAAAGGGAGAAGAGCAGCTGTGACTGCCTAGCGGGTGCAGGTGATGATCACGTGTCCCGAGGGCTAGTGCATTGTCTTTGCATTCGCTAGGATGGGGGGTTGTGCCCTCCTGCCTTTCGTAGGGCACCCCGGCTGTCTAGTCATACCTGGCCGGGGGTGTTTTCCAGAAAACCACCTGCTTGCCCCATGTCTAGCCAGGAGCAAAGTGTTCCCAGCCTTGCCCCATTTTCTACTTTTCTAGCCCCATCTGACTTAGCTCTGAACACCTCCCATCATCACTTTACCCTTGCCCCTGCCTGTCCCGTCAGTTCCAGCACATGTATGTCTCCTCTCTTACCTCATGCTCCTGCGACCACTCCTGCTATGACTGACCCCCTCGCCTGATCAGTCTGGGAGGCCGTCTGTGTACTGCCTTGCCTGCTGATGATTCTCAGCCATGTCTAGCATGGGGACTCAATCACTCAGAAGCCTGTGTCCGCGGTGTCCCATGTGCCCCTGCACACGTGTGGGACAGGATTACCATAGAAGTCTATGGCAACCAGAGGGGACTGGGCAGGGACCAAAGGCTCACAGAGCCTGCTTGGTCACCGGGAACAGTGCCAACCGGGAGGGAGGGGGTGTCTCATGGGACCCTGGGAGCAGGAGTGGCGTAGGGCTGGGACTGGCCTTGGCTGCCCCTGGAGCTACAGAGCAGGAGCCTTGGCCCCTGCCCCCTTGGGAGCCACCACCAATAGCATGTCTGCAGCTTTCTGTCCCCTCCTAATATATTGCACCTACAAAAATTTAACAATACTGTAGTATCATCAAATATTCAATCCGTTTGAAACTGGTCCGTGTCCAACCTAGCTCTAATCAGCTACTGCTGAATTGAAGTAAGGGAAGTGGGGTCACAGGGCCTCTGTGCGCTCAACAGGGGCTGGGGCTGGGGCTGGGCATGGACTCTCGAGATCCGTGTCCTGGGGCTACACCAGCATCGTCCCACAACTCCACAGAGAGAAAGTACAAGGCCAGTCAATGGCTTGGGTGTGGCCTGAGAAGTGAAAGACAGATGGGGGAGTGGGCCCTGGAGCCTCAAGACTTGAGCAGATCTGTGAAGAGACTTAAGAGATGTATCAACTGGTCACAGTATGTGGACATTATTTGGCTCCTGATTTTCAAACAAACAAACTGAAATATAACACGTACTACCAAGAAAGACAGCACAAGACAGTCAAGGAAAGATGAAAATGGACTGAATATTTGAGCATGTTATACAAGGTTATTATTTTTTAGTCCTCATCTTTTAGAAAGTGTGAATATTTACAGATAAAATGATAAGATTGATACCAACCTCTTAATCTCAAGTTTGTGTGCCCCTGCACAGTAAGCCCATCAGTGAGACAGGCTGCTTGGAGATGGATGAAGGTTTATTCAATTGGCCAAAACGAGAAGGCAGGAGGCTAGGTTCTCTCAAATCTGCCTTAACAACAGAAGAAAGCAGAGAGTTTTATAGAGCCGAGGGCTTGGCAGGAGGAGTTTCAGAGAAACAAAGGGATAATCTGTGTGTCTTTCAATCCAGATAAGCCCTTGGGCAATACTGGGGGCTGGTTATCTGGTGATCATAACTTCCTTGAAGGTGCTCTTTTCCTTCTATAAAACAAGCTCATAAATCCTTGTGACCCTTGAGTTACCTCTCAGGTAAAACAAGAAAACAGCAAATTGACAAGATTAACTTGTCTTCAACTATGTCTGTGTTGGGAATAAGCTCAAAAGGTAATCATGTTCTTATTGAATATGTACAGTAACTCTCAGGTACCCGGCTTCAAGATGTTTGGAAATTTGCTTCCAAATATTCTAGGATGTGGGTGGGGGTAGTGGGTGGGAGTATAGATGAAAAAGGTTTGGTCATAAGTTGTTAATTATAGAAGGTGGGTGATGGGTGCATGAGGGTTCCTTAGAGTATTCTCTCTAGTTTTGTATATGGTTGATATTTTCTGTAATAAATTTTTTTCAAAAGGAGAGAAAAAAAGGAAGCTTGAATTTTCCTTTTAACCATTAAAGAGATTTAATTAGAAATTAGAGAGGGCGGCCAGGTGGCGCAGCAGTTAAGTGCACACGTTCCAATTCAGCGGCCTGGGGTTCACCGGTTTGGATCCCAGGTGCGGACATGGCTCCGCTTGGCAAGCCATGCTGTGGCAGGCGTCCTACATATAAAGTAGAGGAAGATGGGCACAGATGTTAGCTCAGGGCCAGTCTTCCTCAGCAAAAAGAGGAGGATTGGCAGCAGATGTTAGCTCAGGGCTAATCTTCCTCAAAAAAAAAAAGTTGTGATGAAATACACATAAAATTTACCATCTTAACCATTTTTAAGTGTCCGGTTCAGTGGCATTAAGTACACTCACACTGTTGTGCAGCCATCACCACCTTCTACCTCCCGAACACTTTTCTGGAACTTGGTAATAAAAAACCAGAATTTGGTTTGCAAGAACCATCTTGCAAAACTGAAATTCTGTATCCAGTAAACAACAACTTCCCATTTCTCCCTCCCTTCAGCCCCTAGTAACCACCGTTCTACTTTCTGTTTCTATGAATTTGACTAAGTACCTCATATAAGTGGAATCATACAGTATTTGTCCTTTTGTGACCAGCTGATTTCTCTTAGCATAATATCCTCAAGGTTCATCTATGTTGTAGCATGTGTTAGAATTTCCAGACCCCCTTTTTTAGGGCTGAATAATATTCCATTGTATGGCTACACCACATTTTGTTTATCCATTCATCTGTCAATGGACACATCAGTTGCTTCCATGCTTTGGCTATTGTGAATACTGCTGCTATGGACATGGGCGTACAAGTATCTCTTTGAGACCATGCTTCCAGTTCTTGTGCTGCTTGTGAGAAATATGCGTGCTCTGCTATTTTCGTAGCCTTGGCTTATACGTAGACCTTCCTATTGTGATAAGGCAATAACTTTGTTCTTTAAGTTTTCCCAGGGGTGTGACAACCTCCGGAAAAGAGCCCTCCACTGGTATCTGTCACTCGTGACAAGAGAAAGGGATGATCTGGCATCTCAAGGACTACAACACCAGATGGTCAACATTCTGAGACCCCCTTTTCAGCCCATTTGCCCTATAACTGCTTCAAAATGTTTTAGTTTTAAGATGGTTCTTTAGGACGCTAGTCCACCATCTTCCCCCTTGCTAGCAAGCTGTAATAAAAAGACCCTTTCTCTCCTACCACCTTGCCTCTTGACAGTTGGCTTGTCTTTGCAGCAAGTAAAGGATCCCTTTTGGCGGTAACAGTAATAGTATGGGTGGTTTCCTTAGGGTCCTCTGTTTCCTTTAGGTCCCTTTCTTAGATGGGGTTCTGAGGTCATGTGCACCTCTTCAGACCCTCTTGCTCCCACTCACTTTTTATTCCAGCCCCTCTAGGAGACCATCCTGGGTAGATTTTGCACAGGTGCAGGTGCACAGAACTCTGCTGCAGCCCTGGAGTGCAGGCCCAACTTCCCCGCTGGAGCTTGCAACTCCTAGTGTTCCTTTCGACCAGGTGCCCTTGGCCCTCTGACTGGCTGGCATGGTGGAAGGGGCACTGGGTTTGGACATGGCCTGTAGTCTAGTTCCACTCTGCCCACTCTCTGACTGTGCACATCTCTGAACCTGGTTCTTGGGAGTTTGGGATTTCTGAGAGGCCCCAACGAGGCAGAGATGGTGAAGCACCCAGCAATGGGGTCTGGCCCTGAGATAGTCATTGAACCTAACTGCCTGAACTTGCATTCCCTCCCCCTCTCCCCCATAACCCAGCTTGTGAATGTCCCTCCCAAAAGTGATTCCTTCCGCTCAGCTGGAAGGTACCCCCAAACACTCCCTCCCACACCACTCCAAGTGACTTTGCTCTGCCCTTGGGCCTGACTACGGGCTTCCCTTTATCTTTTAGACTAGCCCAGACTCTTGACTCAGCAATAACTCAACTCTAAAATAATTATTTGTCAAAGTCCAGGACCAAAACACTAGGTCTTATCAGTTGACAGACTCAGCCCTGAATGGGAAGAACCCAGGGGGAAGGGTGTGGAAGGTGAGGCACACAAGGACTTTAGTGCAGCGTGGGTGTTACTGACAGGCCAGGCTCTCTGGGGACCCACATGTCTCCTGACTGATTGCTTGATTGGGCGGGTTTTGACTGAGCTCAGTCATTCAAAGGCTCCATGAGATTAAGCCGTGCTGCCAAACAGGTGCTGTGTCTTTCCTGTGAGAGGAGACACGCCGCCGAGGGTGGTCATTCCAATTGTTCACTGACACATCTCATTCCTCTCCTTTCAGGCCCATGGGGAGCTTTCACCTCCGGCCTCCTGAGGAAAGCTTTGGCCATGTGACTTATCTGGTTAATGAACTGTTGGCAGAAGCATATGTGTCACTTTTGGGCAGAGGCCTCTAAGGGCCATAGTGGTGGTTCCAGATGGTGGAGGCTCCATCAGCCTAAGCGTTCGAGGGAGGCGAGATGGAGCAGAGCCCCTTGACTGAAGATGGGTGTGTGGGATGAGCAGTGAAAAATCAACGTTGTTGTGTTAAGCCGTTGAGGTTTCGGTGGTTATTGCAGCACAGCCTGGCCCACGTTGACGAGTGCATCCTAAATTCTTTCTGAAACCAAACAGGGTAGAAGCGAACTAGCACACAGGCAGCTAGGCCGATTATTTCCCTTGAGACTGTGAGCCCCGAGAGTCCAGAATTCATTCCTGAACGATGGATGGCAGGTCAAGTGTCCTCGAATCCAAGCTCGTCCTGCTCTGAGCCCCATTCCTCCTGAAGGGAACAGAGCACACTTGCTCTGTAATGGTGACGGTCTCTCTGGATGTAACTTAGTCTTTTGGGTAATTCCTCAGTCTTTCAAATTTTCTTCCTTTTCCCCTTCTCATTCCATAGCAGCCACTGGGCTGCCTGCATAATCCTTATTTCCCACTTCTGTGCCAACAGAACTCTGTTTGGGTTCCACCATCGGAGGAGATGCCCTGGTTCAGGGGTAAATCCTGACTTCTCTAAGCCAATCATGACAGAGCCATCTGCCTGCCTGCGGTTGGCTGGGGCTGAGCACATGACCGAGATTTGACCATGGAGACAGATGTGGAAGTACTTACCATGGGCCTTCTTGTTAAAAAGAAACACAGGTAAAGAAATTGAATTTGTTATCCAAACCTTCCCCAAAAGAAAAATCCAAGCCCACTGATTTCACTGGTCAATTTTATCAAGCAGAAATAAATGCCTATCTTGTTTTGTTTTGTTTTTTTTTTTTGGTGAGGAAGATTGGCCTGAGATAACATCTGTTGTCAATCTTTCTCTTTTTTTTTTTACATGAGGAAGATTGTTTCTGAGCTAACATCTGTGCCAGTCTTCCTCCATTTTTTATGTGGGACACCACCACAGCATGACTGACGAGTGGTGCTAGGTCCATGCCCAGGAACCGAACCTGTGAACCCAGGGCTGCTGAAGTGGAGCGCGGGAACATAACCACTACGCCACCAGGCCAATAAATGTCAATCTCATACAAACACTTGCAGAGAATAGAGGCGGGAGGAACACTGATACTTTCTTTGCTGAGGCCAGCATTACCAAGGACAGAAACCTGGGAAGGTATTGCAAAAAGAAAATTGCAGGGGCCGATCCCATGGCTAAGTGGTTAAGTTCGCGTGGTCTGCTTCAGCAGCCCAGGGTTTTGCTGGTTCGGATTCTGGGTGTGGACATGGCACTGCTCATGGGCCACGCTGGGGCAGCATCCCATATGCCACAACTAGAGGGACCTACAACTAAAATATACAGCTATGTACTGGGGGGATTTGGGGACCAAAAAAAAAGCAGAAAAAAATTTTAAAAAATTGCAGACCATAGCCCTCGTGAATATAGACCTAAACATCCTTACAAATCACCAGCAAATCAAATCCAACATTACGTAAAAAGATAACACATCATGGCTGAGTAGGATTTATCCCAGAGATACTAAGTTGTTTTCATATTTGAAAATCAGTCAATTCGTGCTTCTCTGCCTCTGCATCCTTGACAGCCCTAGAGACTACAGATCTATAAGCTCTCATTCAAAATCTTTACTTATGTTTCAGAATGCAGAATTTCCTGGATTTTAGGACGTTATATGACACCCCCATCAGACTCCAAGGCAGCACCTCCTGATGAAACACATTAATTAATGGTTCTGCAGCAGAATGTAAAAAATATTCTTATCAAGCAAGACGAGTCAAGACTGCAAATACCTGTGGATTAGTCCACGTTGAGTCTTGCTGCTGAATGAAATAGCCTCAAACCTAGCAAAGCCCAGACATCTTTCTGGTCTTCAGAACTTTGCGAATTTTGGGTTGAGGATAGGGACTGTGGACATGAATCATTCTTCAATGCTTTCGTCTGCATTTCCCTGACTACTTGAGATGTTGAACTGACACTGGCCCTGATATTGGTCCCCGTGTGTTAATCCAGCACATGTGGGGTTAAAACCGAAAGCACTCATCCCCTTTACTGCTTACTCTTTGGCTGTCTGGCGCCAGAATCCTCCCTCCACGGAGGCAGACAAGGACACCCACCTGTGGATTCCCTTAGCTCACCAGCCCTTTTCCTACAAGCAGCCACATTCCTTGCAAGCTTTAAAACCCCTTGCCTCCCATCTTTTGGGGAGATGAGAGAAATTTGAGGGCTCACTCTTGTCTCCCGGCTGACATCGCCTGAAATAAAAACCTTTCCTTGCCGTAAGCCTGGTGTTCAGGTTTTATTTGGCTCCTCTTGTGTGGTGGGTGAAGAACCTATATTTGTGTCCAGTAACAGAACTACTATTCATAAGCTTCAGGCCATTCACACGTCCTGGCTTCTTACTGGTCTATTAAAATCGTTAGTACCATTGCACCTTAGGGTTTTTTTTTTTTTTTTTTAGGAAGATTAGCTCTGAGCTAACATCAGCTGCCAATCCTCCTCTCTTTGCTGAGGAAGACTGGCCCTGAGCTAACATCCATGCCCATCTTCCTCTACTTTATACGTGGGATGCCTACCACAGCATGGCTTGCCAAGGTGGGGCCATGTCCGCACCAGGGATCCAAACTGGTGAACCCTGGGCCACCGAAGTGGAATGTGTGCACTTAACCGCTGCACCACCAGGCCACCCCCCCGCACCTTAGGGCTCTGACCTTTTGTTTTTCACATATTTTATAAAGTTGGTCTCAGTCTATCATTTGCTTATGTTTCTTATTGTATCTTTTTCTGGGAAAACTTAAAATTTGTATGTAGTCAAATACGTATTTTTCTTTTTGTCTTCTTGGTTTCCAGACTTACATAGGGAGGTTTTTTCCACCCCAAAGTTATGCATTTTTTTGTTTTTTCTTCTATTATCTTAATTGTTTTATTTTATTTTATTGAGGAAGATTAGCCCTGAGCTAATTGCTGCCAGTCCTCCTCTTTTCGCTGAGGAAGACTGGCCCTGAGCTAACATCCGTGCCCATCTTCCTCTACTTTATACATGGGACACCTCCCACAGCATGGCTTGCCATGCGGTGCCATGTCCGCACCTAGAATCCGAACCTGCTAACCCAGGCCACCACCGAAGCAGAATGTGTGCACTTAACCACTGTGCCACTGGGCCGGCCCCTTAATTGTTTTATATTTAGATGTTTATGGTGAAATCTTTAACACAGTAGAAAGGTAGTCTGGTGTTTTGAGTTATTTTAGAGCATGATTTCTCAACCACGGCGCTATTGACATTTGGGGCCAGGTAATTCTTTGTTGTGGGACCTGTCCTGTGCATTGTAGGATGTTTAGCAGCGTTCCCAGCCTCTACTCACTAGATATCAATAGCACCCCTTAGTTGTGAAAACCAAAATGTCACCAGGCATTGCCAAATGTCTGCTGAGGGGCAAAATCCACCATTTGTTTTTCCCTGTAAGCATGGACAATAACATCAGCACCATCCATCAAATAAATCATCTCTTTTTCCACTCAGCAGAAATGCCGTCTGAGCCATATATTATTAATCCCTCATATATATCTACTGCCATTTTTTTTTTTTGGAGGAAGATTAGCCCTGAGCTAACATCTGCTGCCAATCCTCCTCTTTTTGCTGAGGAAGACTGGCCTTGAGCTAACATCCGTGCCCATCTTTCTCTACTTTATATGTGGGATGCCTGCCACAGCATGGCTTGCCAAATGGTGCCATGTCCGCACCTGGGATCCAAACCGGTGAACCCCAGGTCGCTGAAGCGGAACCGCGCACTTAACCTCTGCACCATCCAGCCGGCCCCTCTACTGCTATTTTTAAATTCTGCTTGTCTGTGTCTTGGTCAGTCTCCGCCCCCATTTTTCTATTCACAATATTCCGGGATCTACTCAGGCATTTATTCTCCAATTGAACTTTAAAATAATGTAAACCCGTTCTAATTGCATTGTCTAGCTAGACCTTCCAAACCAATCTTAAACTGTAGTGCCTATCCCTGTCTCGATCTGGATTTTAGTGGAAACAACTTTGATATCCTATTTAGTTTGCTTTATCCTTTTGGGTTTTGGTAAATCGTCTTCATCCTATTTAAGTATTTTCCTTCGATTCCTATTTAACTTATAATTTTATTAGCAATAAATAGAGAATTCTATCAAGTGCCTTTTTGAGGATATAATCACATGATTTTTCTTAATTTCTGGGAAAATGAAACATCATTTTTATTTCCTGGAATAAATCCTGTATTGGTTTCCTGTTTCTGCTGTTCAGACTGGATCTACTGACACGCCCGTCTCTTCTGCCTGCCTCCAGCTCTCCCCATCTTCGTCTACTCCAGGCACTTCATCCACTTCAAGCCACTGACCTTCATATGACCTTGTCCCTCTCTCCCTTACTTCTCTTATCTGGCCCGCACTTGTTGATGCCTCCTGCAAGCCAGGCACTCCGTTCAGTGCTGGTGATAGCCATTTAACCGACATTCTAGTGTGGGGAACAGGCAATAAAAAGTAATCACATAAATAAACAAGATAATCACGGAGTGTAGAAACACTATGAAGGAAATGAACAGAGGAGCTTAATAGAGAGAGACCCGAAGAAGGAGCTGGTGATGATGAGCTATTGGGGAGAGTGCTCCAGGCCGAGGAAACATCATTTGCAAAGGTCTGTGGGTGGAAAAGAGCAGCCAGGAGGTCAGTGTGACTGGAGTGTAGAGAAGGGGGTGGACAATGAGAGGAAGGTAATGAGAAGACGAGGAGGTATGGAGAAGCGACATCATGCAGGACCTTGTAGACCATAGCCAAGAGATGACTTAATTTGAAGTTGGTGAGAGCCACTGAAGGACGTAAAGCAGGGGAGTTACGCCATCTGATTTGCGGTGTTGAAAGATCACTCTGGACTGATAATGGTTATAGGGTTTCTTTTTTTAAATTTATTTTTATTTTTTATTTTTTTGAGGAAGATTAGCCCTGAGCTAACATCTGCCAATCCTCCTCTTTTCGCTGAGGAAGACTGGCCCTGAGCTAACATCCGTGCCCATCTTCCTCTACTTTATACGTGGGACGCCTACCACAGCATCGCGTGCTAAGTGGTGCCATGTCCACACCCGGGATCCAAACTGGCGAACCCTGGGCCACTGAAGTGGAACGTGTGCACTTAACTGCTGTGCCACCGGGCTGGCCCGGTATAGGGTTTCTTTTTGTGGGCGATGAAAATGTTCTAAACTTATGTATGTAGTGATGGTTGCACAACTCTGTGAATATACAAAAGAAATTGTATGATATGTGAACTATATCTTAGTAGAGCTGTTAGCAGGAAAAAAATCACTCTGTGATGAGAGTGACCAGGTAAAGGACAAGAGTACAGCCAGGGAGATCAATGGCACTCATCAGATGACAGAGGGGTGATGGAGCGGGGTCCAGAGCAGTGCCTGTGTGTGCGAGGCAGGATGCGGTGAGTGCTGGAGGGGGACAAAGGGGGACTCTTTATCAAACGATTCTTGGCACAGCAGCAAGAACAATCTTTGAAGGATGTGAATTGGGTCATGTCACTGGACAGCTTGAGCCTTCAGTGGTTCCTGCAGCAAGAGCCAAACCCTCTGGCCCATCTGCCCTCAAAGCCAGACTCCCTCCACCAAGGCACTCTGCCCCAACACTTGTCAAATTCCAGGTTAAGCACTTTCTTAGCAACTTTCTCCAATCCCCAAATTACATCAGGGATTCTTGCTATCCTGCACAGCACTTGCCCAAACTTATAGCCACGGACTGACTTGCATACTTATTTGCTTTTGTTCCCCTCTTCCTCTAGACTGCAAGCTCCTCCAGAGCAGGGGGCTGTTCTCCCGTGATCATCCCTGTAGTGCTCAGCCCAGAGCATAGCACAGGGAATGCACTAGAACATCTGTTGAGTGAATGAATGTGTGAAACGAATGCATATGCAAGAAGCTAGTCAGCAGTGGGTCAAGGAAACTTCCAAAAGGACAGTGAAATTACAAAGACTCAAAAATTTAAGGAACAACTCACAGAATGAGAGAAAATATTTGCAAATCATAAATCTGATAAGAGATTAATATCCAGAATATATAAAGAACGCCTATAACTCAACAACAAAAACTACAACCCAATTCAAAAATGGACAAAGGACTTGAATAGATATTTCTCCAAAGGAGATATACAAATGGCCAATTAGCACATGAAAAAATCCTCAAATCACTAATCATTAGGGAAATGCAAATCAAAACCACAGTGAGATACCACTTCACACTCAATAGGATGGCTACTATCTAAAAACCCAGAAAATAACAAACGTTGGTGAGGATGTGGAGAAATTGAAAGCCTCGTGCATTGCGGGTGGGAATGTAAAATGGTTCGGCTTCTGTGGAAAACAGTTGGGTAGTGCTTCAAAAAGTGAAGCACAGAATTACCACAGGATCCAGCAATTCCACTCTTGGATATATACCTGAAAGGATGGAAAGCAGGGATTCAAATAGATACTTGTACATCAAAGTTTAAAGCAGCATTCTTCACAGTAGCTAAAAGGTGGAACCAACCCAAATGTCCATCAACGGATGGGTAAACAAAACGTAGTATATGCACACAGAATATCACTCAGCTTTAAAATGGAAATTCTGAGTTTTTTTGATGAGGAAGATTGGCCCTGAGCTAGCATCTGTGCCGGTCTTCCTCTATTTTGTATGTGGCACGCCACCATAGCCTGGCTTGATGAGAGGTGTGTAGGTCCGCGCCTGGGATCTGAACCCACGAACCCCAGGCTGTTGAGGTGGGGCAGAGGACTTAACCACTAGACCACCAGGCCGGCCCCTGAAAGGAAATTCTGACATGTGCTACTACATGAATAGACCTTGAAAACGTTGTGTTAAGCGAAATGAATCATTCACAAAAGTACAAATATTGTATGGTTCCACTTATACCGGAAACGTAGAATAGGCAAATTCCTAGAGACGGAAAGTAGAATAGAGGTTCCCGAGGGCTGGAGAGGGGGCTGGGGAGTTAGTGTTTACCAGGGGCAGAATTCCAGTTGGAGAAGACGAAAAAGTTCTGGAGAGGAGGGTGGTGATGCTTGCACAACATTGTGAATGTACTTAATACCAGTGAACTGTACACTTAAAGTGATAACTTTTATGTTACGTACATTTTACCATTTTTTTTTTAATGTAAGGAATGACATTGGACACCACTACATTCTGAATACATGGCTCAAGCAGTCAACCACAGTGAGTGACCCGGAGGAAGCGCTGGGACGCCGGGGCCAATACCGCGAGGGTTCAGAACCAACGATTGTTCCGCTCGGCCTAAGGGAGATGCGCGGGGCGGACCGCAGAGGGCGCGTTAGCGGC